CACTCGTCACAAGTGTCGTATTTTTCTAAAGCCTAAGAGACTAAAATTTGAATCTTGGCAAAACTCAAATAAAAGTAATGCGAAAATTAGGCAACAAGAATAGCTCCTGATGATACTCGTGAAGATTATTTTGAACCAAAATTGAGGATATTTCTTGAATCCAACTTAGCTCTGCAGTTATGGGTAGCAATTAAACAATTACGAAGAATGTGTATTTCAGAGCAACTTTAAAATTTCAACCGGAATTGCCTTTAAGAGCAATTCTGTATCAAATTGTGCTGCATCGTTCTTGATAAGGCTATGCGCAAGAGGGAGACTTAGCCTATCAAGAATGCAATATAAAACGATGGCCTCATTTGGAAGGAAGTTGTATGCGCATGAATTAAAAATGCAAAATACTAATGTAAAGTTATAAAACAGTTTTAGCAAATATAATTTTCAATTGAATAAAATTAGTGTAAGCATTCTTTAACGAATGAGAATAACTCTGGTTAAAGTGGCAAAATTATTGCCATAATTTGACCCATTCTGATTTACCTGAACCAATGAACCCGACGCCATTGCAAGGAGGCCGCGCTGACTGAAATCCAGTGAGGTTACAGGACCAGAGTAGAGCACATCCACGTCTATGACTGGCTGCAGAGTGTTACGCAGGTCCCATAGACGCAGTTTCCGATCGCCTCCGCTAGAGGCTAGATAGCTAATGCGAAAGATGAAAAAAGGTAACTTTGTGAGCAAGTATTCATTTTCAAGTGATACGATGGTAGTGGTACAGTAAAAAATTGCTCCCAAGCATGCTTTCTTCTAAATTAAACCTGGGTAATGAATTTAATAAAAAAACAAGATAGCTCGATACCAAGTTAGCAAGACATGGAGTAAAAGCACGATCATAAGCCACACTTATAAGATATATTAACCCTTTTTCGTTTAAGGTGATGGTAGTTGAATTTTCCCTCAATCATATAAGTAGGCCTTATGTCTCCACTGAATTTCATAAATCATTGCTTCCCAAAGGCTATTCTCATCCAGGCAGATGTGGACTGCAGTTTCGATTTCGCCTAGGTTTCATCAGCCCCCCTCCCCCCTCCAGCAGTACCGGGATCATTAGATCATATATATGATCTAATGGTAGTATCGGAAACCTAATTATTAAAAAAAAGTAATGTGGTCGACTGCTATGGGAAAAGACATGGCCTTTGTTGAAATTCATATCTGTCCTGTGAATCAAGGGCACTAGTCGCAGTAGTTAACGTGTCAGGATTGTACGCTGCTTATAAATTCTGTTTTTATAAACTAATTGCCATTACCACGAAGATCTTATTTCAATTTCACTCCTTAAGTCTATCACCTTTTCTACAGATTTAAATTCCACTTTTCGTTCGGCTCAAGACATTTAAAACTAACAGAAAGTATCGAGACTGGCTATGGCGCTCCATAAGCTCTGTATATCTTTCCAGTATATGTATAGCCCTTTAATCACTCGCTATATGACTAGGTAAATTAAATTAATAGAAGTCGTTATATTACTTTAAGTAATAGAATATAAATTCGCTTTATTTAAAAATAATCCACCCTATTCATCGTAAGAAAAAAGTAATGCAAGCATGCCTAAAAATCTTATCTTTTACTAAAAGCCAAAATGTAAATAACTATTCAAAAGACGATGCGAAGAGTCGGACAAACTAAATAATTTAGAAGAAACCAACTATTCACAAAAATATTGGGGGTGAGTTCTACTCTGAGCATAGGGGTTATTTGAAGGGCCAATAGTTCAAAATCAAATTCTCGCTATTTAAAATGATTCAAAATATTTTATAATTACTCGAAATAAAACTAAGCTATTCAGAATATGTATCTATGTCACGTAAATAACCGCAAGTTTATCTCCCTACGACAGCCTAAATTAATTTAAAAAACTAATATGCAAGAAACACAATGTGACTGAAAGTCAAGCACTTACTTTCCAATTCCATCAGCAGCCAGGGCCTTTACAGGAGCAGAATGGGCAAATATTTTGGCAACTGGGCTCTTAGCGACAGAGGGTGTCCAAAAACAAATGCATCCTGAGGGGTGACCAGTAGTAATAACTCCAGAGGATGGAACTTGCTTGAGTACATTAAGGGAGCCTAGGTGAGTAGGATATGAGGCCACGATCTCGCCTATTGAGGCATCCAAATAGTACAGGAATCCGTTAGCAGACTAGAGAAGATGCAGTTTTTCAAATATAAATTCAGAACTTTCACATAGGAAACATCATTAGTGACTCACGCCAGCTACAAGAATAAAATGATGAATCAGGAATTCCAATTTCTTTATGCAATTGAGGCGCTTAAGACAATGCAATTCCAAGCCCTGGTTGTCGTAGATATAAGTATAGCTATGCTGAGCAACAGCAATCATGGTCTCTTGATGAAGAAACCTAGAGAAATAAAGAATAAAAAATGTGATCGTATAACGAATTACTAGATAAATTAGTAAGGGGTCAACAAGCTCGGCACATTTCGCCATGAATCGAAGGGCCTCATGGCCAAATTTAATTAGAATAGACTGGTTAAATCACAGGACAACGGATCAATTGAAGCCGGCATATTCATCTGATAGGATCGACTTTCTAATGGCTTTATACATTTTACCTCAAAGCGGAAGTTAACTCAACAATAGTGTAAGGCTTAAATTCTTAAGATTAACGCATTTATTGATTTCCATAAAAATCTAATTTGCTATGAAATTTGTAAATTAAAAAGTCTTATGAAAAGTTAAGGACATTAGAATACTCAGTTCTCTTATTTTAAACAATTTAAAGCAAAAACATGGAATCTAAGTAGTCGTGGACGAAGCGTATTAAAATATCAATCGAAAAATCGTTGTCTTACTTTATATCAGAACACTCTTCTCCAATTTTTGCTTCGAAAAGAGGCTTTTTAGTCATCCAATCAAATGCCCCAATATGCCCACTTTTGCCGCAAAATGCGAGGAACCGAGCATTTCGCGAATAATCTAAGGAGTACGGACCACCTTTAAATTTTAGTGAGAAGTGCTAAGCGTGTAAGTTATTATCTCGTAAGTACTTTGGTAGCAGAACCAACGTCTACGTTTTTAATAATGTCACCCTGTGTTACTCGTTCCCCTTCTTCCTTGTCAAGTTCGCTAAAAGGCATGAAAGAAGGCGAGTTTACCCATATGGTTCTGATTTTAGAAGTTCTGACTTTTGTATTCTAAAATCAGATTTTTTTACATTTCGCCTAAATTGCTCTAGCTTTTTCCTGTGGAACCTCGTGTTCATAGCAAAGATAACGCCCAAACCGCGCTGAAGCAATTTGTATTGTCGCTGTGCTTTTTAATAATTTAACAATCAAAACTAAGGCTACTAATAAATGTGATAGCATTCCTTTTTTAAATTATTATTATTTATATATTTAGCTTTATAAAAAATTAATTTATTTTTATAGAGTTTGGTATTATTCTTAAATTTTACCGCAACATTCACTTAAATATTATTATACATTAGTATAAATAAAGTCAAAAAGTCACCTTTATACGGCTTTATTAATATGACAATCAGAATGTTTTATGAGGAAATATTAATTAGGCCATTTTCTCCATCTGGAAGACCAATAGTCTTATACAGCCTTTATGCTATACCTATGGCGCTAGCGCCAGTCTTTCCTATAAAATAAAAAGCAGAGTGTGCCGTTTTTTTTATAAATATACCTCGAACTAAAATCAAAGCGGCATTTTTTAATACTCTGTATGAGTCTGGAGTGTGGAGAACAACATACTTAATTCCCCTTGAATTTTGTAAGGATCCAGAAGACCATGATAGCCCTATGAGGGCTCTTATTCTCAATTCTATTCGATTGTAGCTATGTAATCATCAACCAATATCTACCGTAGTGCCCTCGTGAACCGCAAACAATCGCTTATTCTGTGATGAGGCCAAAACTTTTACCGAGCGAAACTTTGACAGCTGCCAGTTTATTAGCTGGTGTCATTTCGTCAGAGAATGTCCTCCTGGCAGCACTCAATTTCGCACATTTAGCAGTCCAATATTTAATATTTCGAACGGTACTAAGGGAGCCACTATCTTAAAACGACATGGACCTAACAATCTTTATTTGGATGAGGGAGCCCGTAATCGAGACAAGACTTACCACTTCCAGCCTATAATTTCAATGTATTAAAATAATAAAAAGTTCCTTTAGTTATATAGAGCACTACTGGAGTGACTAGATACTAGTTATGCAAAATACACTAGATCGGGTTTCGTCATGAAGAAGTACCAGCGACGAAGAGAGGAAAGGAGAGCACGAGTAACCAAGTAAAAGGAAGCTTGCCTGAATGGAGTATTGTATGGTATCCCTAGGTCAATTGACTTGAACATCGAATGCACGCAAAACAGAGTAAGCTATGAACGCAAAACAACTATTGACACTAGATTATGAAATTTAGCCCATTTGGGAAAATAAACAGCTGACCAATCTACATTCTTTCCGTGCATAAACTAAATCGATGTGCATAATGGAAGGTAAACACGAAGAGGACGCTCGAATCACGGAATACCTTATAAAGATTTAAAAAATTAAGTAGAGTTTAAGTTGGCCGTCTTTCATGGTTTAGCGCTTTGCGTAGGAGGTATTCTAACCCAGATGATGACTGTCAAACGGCACATGAAAGCATGACATGGATTTGTCGAGGTCACAGAGGAGTAGGCTGAGGTAGTCCTGACACAATTCAAAGTCATTATAATTATTGTTTAATGCGAAACCAACTTCAGAATTCTATATATACCCGTTATAAATGAAGCAAAAGGTGCATGAAGACAATTGTACAGAAACAGCTCGAGCCCAGAAGCTAAAAACACTAGTATCGAGTTAGCATTGGAAAGGGTTCTGAACGCTTTTACCCAATTGGCCTCATGGGTTCGGCAAGATTTGACAAAACTGCCTCTGTCCGAATTAGAGAAAATGCACGCAATTTACCCTTTATGTTGACCAAATTGTTATATTTTAATAAAATTATATATAGTAGACATTGATAATCCTTACATTCTCATAAAATCCTTTAGAAAATCGAGAAAGCACGAAGAGTAGGAAAAAGGAAACCGTGATCATCCTGGCTGTTAAAAAAACTATCGAAAAATAACGGCTTCAGTTAAGGAAGATAAAGAAACAATCAAATATGCGTAATAGAACTTCATACACACACAGAATATTAAAAAATGTGAGAAAAATATTCTCCTTTAGAAGATGTAAAAACAAGTGTCGGCTGGGAAGTGATAAAGGGTGGCGTACATCTACTTGAAGAATTGAATTTGGCTAAACGAGACTATTGAACAAATCGTTTTCTTCGGTCGAAGATGTAGCGCTTGAACTCCAACACCACATTAACCCCCTGAACATGTGTGCCCCCGAGGATTTGAGTTGCGTCAGCCTGGTCGGTGGACTTCTTAGACGATGCCTTTCCCGAATACCGAGCAATTATTTCTGGCGGGAGGTCGTCTAAAGAGAGGGCATAAAAAGCAAAGGGAGGGTTATGAAAGAAAAATAATTATGAGCATAAGTCTAGGTAAAATCTGGGCAACGATATAGGCAAAAGCATAGCTAAATAGCAGACAGCAAGATTTTATAAAATAATTATTCAAATCATCACCTAGAAGACATGCAACCAAAAAGTATAGGACACAAAAATTAAATTAGGACTAGGAGATAGAGAACAGACCACCATTGACAGAGGAGAAGATCTGGCCAATACAGAAAGGAGTGACAAGAAACTAAATGTAGATACGAAGAGAAACTTGGTTTCGATGAATCTCCTGAGATAACATTGTGAGGGGGACCTTCATTTCGAATGAAAGTACATGAAGAAGAGATTCGTTGGTCGGTCTCACCAGATGAGGACGGATGAAAATCGTTGTACTGCAGCCGTTCAGCTTTTATATTATACTCATGTTGACGCAGTCCACGAGTCTTCCCCCCTCGTGTCGGGTGAAAACATGCTGAGCTTTCGTTCATCATATGATGGACATCATCAGAGCTAGTTTCATTCTTGTAAAAGTCTCATATTAACACTAAAGCAAGAACACTATTCGGCTTCATCTTACTTTATATATAGAATCAGTCGAGTCAATCGATTAAAAATCAGAAATCTAGACAGATCGATATAGAGTGGTTTGGTTAATTTTCTTTCATACTCGTTCTGTTATTTTTGCT